AAAAAAAAAAAGACATGGTCATGGTTTCCACAGAGCACAAAAAAATGTAGAAAAATACAATTCACCGAGTAACATGAATGAAAACAAACACATATTCCGGTTTGTTCTTTAACCAAATTCCAATGATTCTCACCCCAAAATTGATGTTTTCCTTTGAGCACCACACTGACCTGCTCTCATTATGTTGATCGTCGCTAAAAACTGGAGAATGACAATGTCGAGCTAAAAAAGCAGTAGACAGAAAAGTCAGAGATGGAGTCACTCAGCTCATTGAGCAGCATCAATACTGAAAAACATCGACAGGCAGCGGTGACCCAATATTCATTTTCCCACAAAGTTGGATGAAAACTACAAGAATTTAAGACATGATGCTTGTTCGAATTACCTAAGCACAATAAGATAAGAGATGAATGCATCAAAGAAAGAACTTCCCATATGATTCTAATTTTGCTGACTAAAAACAGTTAATTCCACCATTTCTTGGCTACCGGTAAGTTAATCAACCATCACAATTATCATCTCTAATAGCATTTGCATCACAACTCGATCGACTACCTTGATAGATAGGAGTCAAGCTCTTGCAAGGAATTATCTAAATAATAATCTAGGAGGGGAAAAAAACGGGCGATAGAAAATATTTTGATTGCAAAATTCTCGATTTTGATCTTAGACAAAAAATCGACATTAGGGATCAAATAAAAGCAAACAGTAATTGTAATACTTCATGAACATGAATTTCAACTCCAAGATTCAATCAAAACAAGATGTAATGCCATTAGCATTCCTCAAAACCCAGCTCAAATCGACGAACCATATACACATTCTGTAATAAAAAAGTCCAATAAAAAAAAAAAAGGCTTCAGCCATTAATTAAACACACACCGACACAGACACTCAAACACAAGCACCTGAAGAGAAGGAACAATTTCTGAAGTGGGTTTTGGGAGGAAATTGTGGTGAAGAAGACAACAAGCTCCTTCCCGCCTCCATAAATTTCAGAGCATTTGTGCTACAAAAAAAAAAAAAAAACAGAGAGAAAAAAACAAAAACAAAAGAAAAGAAAGAAAAAGAAACTCTGTGGCTGTGGGGAGTGTATGAGTGCTGCTTGTTTGAGCAGATAAAACTCTGCTCATCAATTCTGATGGATGAGGTTTTTGCAGTCCTTTTTTTCTTTTCTGATTATTCTAATCGGATAATACTCTACATATAACATATTTCACAGCTTAAATGACGTCAATCCAAGGTTTTAAATAGCGGGCTAAAACGTTTATGGCACTGTAGCTATAGCGGCGCTATAACGGAGATTTAGCGGGATTTAGCGGGATTTAGCGGCTAAATTGCAAACGAATACAAATAGCGGCACGCTGCCAAAAAAAGCTATTTCTCAAATAGCGAGCTATTTATTTCCTTGCATCAATCCCAACGTGTGCATGTCAGTTAAGCGGTGGGTATATTAACATGTACCTATCGGGGGAGCATTATTGAGTTCTAATGTAGCATTATTAAGTGGCATCAACTGTTTAAGTGGCATCACAAAAAATGATGAATTTTACAACTTATTGTATCAAGTTCAATGTCTCCCAAATCAGTGCATCATTTCTAGAAAATGGCCAATATAATGGACCAAAAATGAAATTTTGCCCCATTTGAACATAGTAAATTTCCCTTTCTATGATTTGGATAAAATGTGAGAAATTTACACAATTTACATCCCCTTAAGTA